TTTTGATCTTTGTCTATATATATTATTCAAAGAAAAAACTGAAAGCATTTATCTTGTGTATTTCTTGATTTTTCTTGCTCATGTAGATGATTTCCTGTAAATAATTGTGCGAAATAGAACTGCACTAGTCCATGGATATCTACTACAACTTAAGGTTATATACTAAAAGGCAATAGTTAAATGGACTTAAAGTTCATTAATCTCCTAATACGCTGTTGAGTCTTATTGTGGTTTGAGTTATGTGGTGTTAAAGAAGTTCGCACCATATGTTAGCTTAGCCTTTTGGAGCTTGTGCTTGTAACTCTAAAATTTGAATCTTAAAAAATGAATTGCCTTTCTCTTTAAAGTATATCCTGCAGCGAACATGGCTCACAGTAAACATCACATCTGCACCGTACGACATGATGCGGTCATGTGGGTGTTACCATCTTATTTTGTTCATGTTATCTCAGTCTCACTTACCCGTTTATTAAAACTAGTACTTTGATAGTCAATCATGTATCACCTCTGTAGTATATTTTCACTTGGGACGTACTTGTGACTATATTATTAATGTTTTACTAACAAAAACAACAAAAACCTTTTGTTAGCTCTGGCAACGTTTGAGCAACCTGGCCAAATTGTTGCGAAGACCCCTTTCTGTCTTTCTTGTTGCTCGACTTTTGATAAGATCTAGATTTTTATTAGTTATGTATATTATATTTTTTCACCAATATATATATATATATATATATTATATGTATGCATATAAATATATATATACACACATATATCTTTTCATTCTCTTTATATTGGCAACTGAACCCATTATTTTATTTTCCCACTGTCAGTTCCCCGTTGGGCGTATCCACCGACTTCTGAAAGAACGAGCAATGGCCCATGGGAGAGTGGGTGCCACTGCAGCCGTTTACTCAGCTGCCATTTTGGAGTACCTAACAGCTGAGGTCCTGGAATTGGCAGGAAACGCCAGCAAGGATCTGAAGGTGAAGCGTATCACGCCACGTCATCTGCAGCTGGCGATACGTGGTGATGAGGAGCTTGATACTCTCATCAAAGGAACCATTGCTGGTGGCGGTGTCATCCCCCATATACACAAGTCCCTCATCAACAAGTCCTCCAAGGAATAAAAAGAAGATCACATATTTGACTGGCAATTAAACGGAGTTAGGACATCCTGCCTTATGTTTTTTTTTCCCCCTTTTTCTTCTCTATATTGTGGCTGTGCTGTGAATTGCGTATGAAGCTGCCGTTTGTGCGATTGCATGACATGTGTTATAGAGGCTTCCGAATGACTGATTTCGAATGTGTTGCGGCAGAAAAAAGCTCTTTTGCTACATGGACATATTGTTTGTTTTATGTGAATTATGACACTTGTTTCATGTTTTAATTTGCCTGTTTTCTAATTTTGTTTTATCATGTCGTTTTGTTGTTATTTATATATCTAGTGTTTTTGACCGAAATAACGATTCTGTCATGCGTTGGAGGACGGTTTTGCAGTATAAAAGCTGTAGTAAGGTATTTCATGTCACTGTGGTGGTACATTGTTTAAGACATTATACACCAGTCCAGAGAGGACTTTTTAAATCTGATAAGAGCGTATTCGAAAGATTGTAAACATATTCTGATTATAAAATCCAACACATCTGCTAAACCTCTTCAATGATTATCGAGTAAGACCAGCAGAAGTAGAGAAGCCTATATCATGATGAAGAAGGGGTACACATTAAGCACCAACTGTGCTGTAAAGAAAACAAGAACTCTAGCATATCATGTCCTACAGGTTATCGACCTCAGAGGTCAACAGCCATCCCTCTTCACAGTCCAGAAGAATAGCCATTGAAGTCAAAACAACAAATTCGACTTAGCTTCTCCCATCCCCACAAAACCAAATAATATAGGAAAGAAGCTGAAAAGATAAAACTGCAACTTAATCACACACTACCAACCAACCAACTAAATAGCAGCTACCTTAGGCACCTCCACAGGAAACTGATCGATCTCATCAATCCACGGGCTCTTCTCTTTAGATGGCTTTATAGTTCGCAGGGCTTTCCAAACAGCACTGTTGCACTTGAAGCCCGACCCAAACGCAATCTGCCATGTCCGGTCCCCTCTCTTCACCCTCCCTTTAGCTTCTGTATACGCCAGCTCGTACCAAAGTGAGCTGCTCGACGTGTTACCAAATCTGTACAGAGTCATCCTCGACGGCTCCATATGCCAATCCGAGAGCTGCAGATTCTTCTCCAGCTCATCCAGCACGGCGCGCCCACCCGCATGGATACAGAAGTGCTCGAACGCAAGTTTGAAATCGGGTATGTAAGGCTTAACCTTCTTTTTAAACAGCTTTCTCCTCACCAAAGTCGCCAAGAACAGAAGCTGCTCGGACATGGGCAAGACAAGCGGGCCCAGTGTGGTAATATTCGTCTTTAAAGCATCCCCGGCCACCGCCATCAGGTCCTTGGAGAGTGAGACCCCGATTTTTCCATTCGAGTCCTCCATCTGAGTCACGCACGAGAAGCACTTCTCGTCCGATCCCTTGTGGGTTCGGACAGTGTGGACTAACCGGTACTTGGCCCGCCAGTACTCAGACCTTTTGTTCGAGAGCAATATGGCGGCTCCACCCATACGGAAAAGACAGTTCGAAACAAGCATCGATCTTTCATTACCAAAATACCAATTGAGCGTGATATTCTCCATGCTGATGACCAACGCATACGTATTCGGGTGAACCTGCAAAAGATCCTTCGCAAGGTCGATAGAGATCAAGCCCGCACTACAACCCATTCCCCCGAGATTATAGCTGATTATATTCCCCCTCAGCTTGTAATGATTAACGACCATAGCCGACAGAGAAGGCGTGGGGTTAAATAAACTGCAGTTGACAATCAAGATCCCAATGTCTTTCGGTTTTACGGAAGTTTTGGCGAGGAGCTCGTCTATGGCGCCGAACATGACAGTCTCGGCTTCCTTTCGGGCCTCGGCCATGCACGGGTTAGGGGGGACTCGGAGGACAGCCTCCGGGAGGTAGGTGGACTCGCCGAGACCCGAGCGCTCGAGGATCTTGCGTTGGAACTCGAGGTTTTCGTCGGTGAACGAGCCCGTTAGCTTGGACCTCTCCATGAAGATTTGACGGGTGCATTTTCGTTCGGGATGGGGCTTGTAGCAGGAGAAGTCGACGAGGTAAACGGGAGCGGGGCGAGTGAGGAAGTAGAGTGTGGAGAGGAAGACCAAAAGGGCTGAGCAGAGGATGATGGAAATGAGGTTGAAGCGGAGATGGTCCCACAAGACGTGGAGGTCGTCGAGGGAGAAGGTCGACAGCTGCGCAGCGATGATCACGAGCAGCGGGGAAAGGAAGAGGAACATTCCATGGGTTATGAGGTAATGGTAACCTAGCTTCACGTACTTGAGCTTCACTGATTGTTTGAAATCTGGGAGCTTGCGGGAGCTCATTAATGGCGTCCTGCTGCTGCTGCTTCCTTTCGTTTCGCTCATCTTCTTCACTAACTCTTGTAGATTCTGGAGAACAAAACATAAATAAAATAAAATTGAGTGAGTTAAATAGGGATCTGCATATTGGGTTTATCATCACCATTGAATCACACAGAAAATAGTGAAAAAAAAAATAAAATAAAATAAGGGAGCCCCTGAAAGAGAGGCAGATCGTAACAAGATATACTGACCTTTTTTTTTTTTTTTTT